ACTTTGTATGCACATAAGCATTGTATTCCTTGTTAAACTCCTATTATCTTTATTTTTATTTTTTAGGCATAGAATGTATTTTTTTTTACTTTCCAATAAAACATAATTTATTGATGTATGATTGATATAGTAAGTGTTGTACCTATTTAATATGTACAACTTAATGAGTTTTCAGGTGAGTCTACATCTATGAAAGCATGACCCCAATCTATGTCATTGACATATCTCTCAACTCCAAAAGATTCCTCCTGTCCTTTCTTAAAAAGCTATGTTCTAGAAAATAAAAACTGGCAATACTTGACGTTTATATCTTGATGTACTTCAGGGTCCTGTCTTGGTCCTGCTTTCTTCACTTTCTTCTCTTCCAGTGTGATGACATCCTTCCCTCTAGCTACCGTGACCATGTTTCTCCCGGTAACTCTAATCATATCATCAGACTCACATCTTTAGAGATTCAGTTTATACCAAGTGTCTGAGTTCCAGACTCATGTTTAAGTTCTGGACACAGGTTACAGAGCCATTCATGTTCTGGTACTGGCTTCCTTCTTCTGCGTCATCATACTCTATTACCTTTGTATAGATAATACCATGTATTTCTCAAATACCTTTTGTATATGTGGTGGGCACTTGCACTTTGTTGAAAGGAAAAAAGAGGAAAAGCAACAAATGATATGAATGAGTCATTGTTTTATTGATAATGTATTTCATAAAACCAAAAGCTTAGGTCACATAAGTGTTCCACATACCACCAAAATTCAAATACATGTGCGTGTCTAGGTCAATAGGTTTGAATAGTAGCTAGAATTTTCTAAAACACCAGATATGATATTTCAAACTAAGATGAAGATAAAGTATTGAAATATACTTGTATCCCATTTTGGACATTTTCTGAAGAGAAATTATCACTGGGAAATAAAGTAGGCCAACATGTGATTGTAGAAAGAGAGAGACAGAGAGAAATGTTATTTCAAAGGTTACATTCTTAGTGATGACCATGAGGTTAGAAAGGGAAACACATCAAGGAGAACCTGTTGCTTCCAGCAATCAGTGTATCAGAAGGACTCTGTGCATGTGCCCCTAGGGCCGTGCAAGGGTAACCACATCTAAGGGGAAGAGACTCTGCCCAAGAAGAGGATGCTGTTGGTCTTGTTGTGTCTGATGAAGAACAGGAAAGGGTGATCACAATGGAAACGTTCATAACGTGGTGCTGACGTTAAAGTTATACCTGTACTGATG